TCCAACCTTAATGATTCTATGATTATATATCCTCTGTCTTTCCTCTTACACCCTCCAGGTTTTATTTCGTCTCAATTTCTTGGTTGTGGTACTGTGCATAGTGATGGACCGTCCCTACCAGTTCTACTACTTTGTGCCATTAGTCACTATCTGGTTTATGATCATTTATGCCACCTTAGCTATATGGCCTCAGATAGTGCAGAAGAAAGCAAATGGTAAGATTGTTTTTTTTCTTTCTGCTATAAAATATTTGCATGTTACTACAATGATAACCATACCAAAAATGGTATTGTTAGTAGATATCAGTCTCTTTGTAACATAGTCAAAATATGTTAAAAAGCTGTTCACAGAAATAGTATGTCATAAATGAATTATATGTCAGTTGAAAAGCATAACAGCTGGTAACTAAAGTCTGTTTCTGGTTACAGTCATACTGGAATACTTTTTAGTAGATTTTGACCACCAGAAATGTATTTTACCAAGAGTTGTAATATTACTGAATGCAAACTCAAAACATAGGTTATGCCATCTATGCTAGCTGAGATTGTTGCTGTAGTGTACTGAGGGGTATGGCAGGAACAGTGAGCATTTACACTTTCGCATTCTGCACTGCCAGTATGTCTCATCCATCTTGAGCACCAATTCTGCCATAGCCTGACAAGTAAGAACGTGAGTTTTGCTATCTTAGTGTCTTAGATTAAGTGAACTATAGCAAGTATGTCTTGTGATACAGATGTTTTAAATAAACTGGTATTCCACTTCAATTTTTATTTGATGCATTGCAGCTCATTGAAAAGCTGTCATCATGTGGTAAATGCTTATGATTTAATTCACCTAAATTAGAACTAAAACCTTAAGAGTCTTAGATCCTCCTTCCCTACTGATGGAGTAATATCAAAATTTTATAGTCTGCAGATCTGACAATGAAATATACCAAATGCATGCTAGGACTAGATGCTGCAAAAATATAATTAGAGAACAGTTTCACAAGATATCTTGAAGGCAAATAGCTCCAATATATTTCTTTTTCCTACAACGGCAATTCTGTTCCAGATACAGAGAAATGACCGTTGTGTATGTTGGAGCAATAGTGTACTTTGAAACTAGAAAATTTTTCAATGACAACTTTCAGTTGTTTATGTCCTGTTTACAGCTGCAAATTTATATGGTAAAAGAGAGAGATGATCTCCGTTGTAATGTTGAGGCTTGGGTAGAGCTTAATATCAGGTGACAGCTTTGAGGAACAGTTTCTCAGGCTTCTCTTAACAAGATATTTGTCCTTAATGATCTGGGGTTGAGCTTTGGAGTACAGCTGGTCCCTCAAAGTTTAATAGTATATGCTCTACTTATTTCACATGACAAAAGCTGTTGGGCATTTCATTTATTTATTTACATTCAGATAATAAGGACTGCTTATGTGGAGTGTTTGGGAAAGCAAAGGCTTTAAAGTAGTATTTCTGTTTGAACATCTAAATTCTCTTCTTTCTGTATGTATATTGTCTCTGTTTTAGACATGAGGCTTAATTCAGATTACTAGGTTGTTACTTGCTGTGAATGTTTATTTTAATTGCTTAAAGTAAAATTTAATATGTAAATGTAGATAGTGATAAAATATTACAGGTAATATTTAAGCATTTTTTTTATGAATGTATCTATTACTAAGCATACGTACACTAAATAATTGGCCATTATTATTTAATGTGTCCTGGGGCTTGCTATTGAAAAATTGATGACTGCATACTGATTATTTCTTCCTCAGGGAACTGCTTATGGCACTTTGGTTTACTGCTGAAACTGATTTGCTTACTGACATGTATATATTTTCTGTCATATTCTCAGGTTTGTAAACTTTGGCTATTTTTATCCTTAATGACCTAAAAGTATATTACCTATCTCTACTTTTTAATGTGCTCAAAACTTGTATATTTGCTGCTGTACCGTAAATATTGAAGAAAGAAAAATTCCACCTTTCAGTTTCTTTTCATATTTTAATTGGTGTGGATACTAGAAAAAGTGCAGTTCTGTGTCTTACTCGTTTGTAATGCTTAACATGTTTTTGGTATTCTACTACAAATGTAATAAATACAAAGGTCCGTGCTTTGGTTTTGAAGTGGGGGTTTTTTTTATGTGCTTAATGTTACTGGGTTTTGCTAGCGTATGGTGATATTAGTATCTCTTAGAGACTTGGTGTTTGCTTTGATACCTTATCAAAAGACTGATTCTCATGCTAAATTAGTGACTTAATGTAAGTATAGCTGACAGAGGTAAGGGCAGAGTTTGTCACTCTAGGATTTTACAGAGCGGTTTGTGTGATTTTAAGCCTGTTGTAGAGTTTCATTATTCATTATCCCAACATATTGGTGGATCTCTCCCTTTAAGCCTGCAGTACAAAATGGAAGGCGTGCCAATACCTTTATGGGAAGCAAAACTGAAACCCTCTCTCATCTGAAAAAGTATTTTTGGTTTTTTTTCTTTTGGTGGAGGGAAGTGCCTTCTAAGTAAGCCTGATATTTTGGTAATGCCATGTAGCTAATGAAATAGGGCTGTGATAATATTAAAAGACAGCGTATTGATTTAAATTTAGTAAATACGGTTGACATCAGTGTTAATCCTTTTGTCATGTTTATTTTTTACAGGGTGCATTTGAGAAGATATTTTCTTTTTGGCCACTCTCCAAGTGTTTTGAACTGAATGGGAATGTCTATGAATGGTGGTTTAGGTGGAAGTTGGATCGCTATGTATGTAACATTTGCATAAATTTATACTGGTCTTTTAAGTGTTTTTTTTAATTTGGGGGTGGAGGAGTGAGGGCTGCTTTCCCTTCTTCCAGAGGAAGCACAATTTTGTCCCAATGGATTGCTTATTAGAAGATTAAGTTGCATCCACCTTACTTCTGCAAACGTCTGCCAAAGCCTTGCTTAAAAGATGGATGTTGACTTACTTCCTGCTGGACCCTGCTTCGTTTGCTTTAAAAAAAAAGTCATAAAGTGACCTAGATTTGTCTTTAAAATTTTACTGCAAAAATTCAACACCTGTAACACTTCAAGCTATTGAAATACAACACAAATGATTGTGATGTCTTTCTTAATAATATTTGTTTAAAGTTGTATCAATTAAGGATATATTTATTTTACAGTAACCTTTAAGACACTTTCAAAATCAAGGTGTTAATGCCCAAACCAAACTATTGTTGCACATGTTTTTAAAATGGTTTTCCAGTGGGAAAGTGCTTTCTTTCCAGTTACTGACCCTACGGTGTGGGGGAACAGAAGAGGAAGACTCTGGTCTTTTTTTTTTTTGCCTTCTTAGTAAGTTAAGTGGAGTTTCTAAGATGAGAGCATTTATCTGCTAACCTTATCCTTAACCGGATCACTTGCACACTTCTCCCTCTGGCAATCTTCAGTAACTGAAATTTGCAGAGCACACGGTTGTCATGTCCTGAGCTGCTCCCTTCAGCAGTGCACACTGCATGGCGACATTTCAGACTTGGAGCTTTGTTGCTTGTGAACAGAGTGTATTCTGTGATGCTGCTGAAGAGGAAAATCCTGAAATAAATAACAGAAGACAAGCACCGCATGGGCCTGAAACAGCATTGTGTTGCTAGTTGATGAGAACTTGGCAGAAGATCATAAACCACTCTGCTGAGGAATTGTGTCTCTGAGAGGGGAAAGCGCTTGTAGTGCTTCTTGAATGTTTTCACCTGCCAACTTGGGTGAAGGCCAGAGACTGATGTTTTTTTTTCCCTGGAGAAAGCCCCTTTCAATGCTGGCATACATTGCAGAGGGGATAATAGGTACTTGAAAGCTTCTTGAAATTCCATTGTTGTGTCTGTAATGCTCTGTCAAGCATTAGTACTTTATTTGTATTTTTTGAGCTGAGTTAAAAATGCAGTTTAGGACAGGCTAGTGTAGAAAGTCTGGTTTTGTTTGCTCAAGTAAATCTGGGAAAGGACCTTTTGACACCTAGGTTTTGATATTACATATAGTATATCCTGTGGCATTTCTGTTAAAGAGTTTGTACCTGAAGTACTTGTAAAAGCCATGAAATATTCATTGCATTCTATTTGTCTTTTACAGGTGGTTTTTCATGGGATGCTGTTTGCTTTTATTTATCTGGCATTGCAGAAACGTCAGATGATTTCAGAAGGAAAAGGAGATCCTCTTTTCTCCAACAGAGTTTCAAATGTTTTATTATTTATTTCAGTTGTATGCTTTTTGGTACGTACTTAATATGACTAGTATGATCAGGTTTGTGACTCTGTTTCCTGAAGTTCTTGATTATAAAATACATTACTTTAAAAAAATCAAATCTTGATCTGGAGATATTTTGGCTGTGTTTTTGTGCACAGCCCTACCTATCTACTCACTAAAGTATTTTTCCTTTCTGTCAATTGTAGATGAAAACATCATCATTCTCTCAGTTCATTGCAGAGGTTACAAGAAAATTGGATAAAAATAATATGGTAGATAGTGCAGCTCTATCTCCACTCTTGATTGCTTGTCTATTTGTGATGAAAAAATTGTCAAAAGTATGGCTGTATCTTAGGGTATGAATAAGTACAGTATTCATCAGTTGCAAAGAAGAATTTGAGAGAAACACAAAACTAAGCACAGTGTAGTTTTTTATATTGTTTCACCTCTTAGTGAACCAACTATTGCTGAAGGACTTCAAAATAGCTTACCTCTTATTTCATTTTTAAATGTTACATATAACTGCTACACAGACTGATTTTTTTATATCTTTTAGACCTACTCTATTTGGGCTAGTAGCTGTAAAAACAAGACAGAGTGCAATGAACTACATCCTTCTGTTTCTGTGGTGCAGGTAATTCTAACTATAGTCCTTTTCCTTACAGTGATAGCATCTAGTCTGTTCTTGTTTCATTTTTTTTTAAATTGTTTTAAAATATATTTTTGCTTTAATATGTAATGTCGGATATTGAGCTTCATTCTCATGTCTGAAAGTGAAAAAGAGTTTAACTACATTGCTCACTGTTTTTCATTGCCTTTAAGCAATGAAATTTGCACATGTGACTATGCTTTTGATTAACCTTGATGTTAAGTGTAGGTTTCGTATGCACTGTTTACGTCCAGACCCAACTTTTGACTAATTGCATAGCAATGGAAAAGAAAAAGCTGTAGGGAAGCATCAGTGTTTGGGAGGTCCTAGTGCAAGAAGCAACCTCTGGGACCCTGTGGTCACTTTTAGGCAGAGAAGAGTTGGGCCACCGGGGCATGCATGTGGCATCTTAAATTTAGATTTTCCTCTTATCGTGTCCCCTGCCCCACTATATCCCAGCTGTCTGATCCTGTTCCCTCTCTGTTTCCTTTTTTTTAATAGCTTGTCCTGCTCTCTTCAAGGGCAGCATGTGTGACTTAATTTTTTAATATTAATTTGTCCATCTTGACACCTTATCTTTAAAAATTGCGAGTTAACTCAGATTTGTTGCCACCTTGCTTCTAGGCTGGCATGGTATAACATGTTTTGTGACCATGTCTAGTAAGTGTATAGTAATATCTATCAACATCAAAGCTGTGATTCTACTGAAGATGTAAATGTGACTTGCTATTCTATACGAATGTGTGTAATAGATTTGCAATTTCAAGACCTACTTCTACTTTGCTAATTATAAACTGCATGGATTTTTGTTTAGTTTATATATTTGTTAGATTTTAAAGAAAATTCAATGCATTATTCATTTCACTTTAGACAGTGAAAATGAATAAACCTTTTATGTGTGTGTATTCTGCTTATCATCTACAGTCCCTTTTTTTTTCTTTTTTTCTTTTTTTCTTGTTTTTTTTAAGATTTTAGCTTTCATCCTCATCAGGAACATTCCTGGATATGTCCGATCTGTGTATAGTTCATTCTTTGCCTGGTTTGGCAAAATTTCTCTAGAGGTAAGTAGAATGATCAGAAGTACAGTTAATTGAAACTTGGACATGTAAGGTGGTTTTATTATCTAAATTGTAATGTAACATATAAATAGTGAAAATTTTTATTGGCTTATTTAATGGCATGCTGCTGTGTTTAACCTCTTTTAGCATTGTAAGTTCTGTCTACACTTAGAAATCATAGCTGAAATAGGAGTCTCAACAGCAGCAAACTTATTTCTTATGCTGCTTTTTGAAGGGAATTTAGGGTTGCGAGGGTGGGGATTTAATGCTGGAATAAGCTGTGGTGTGTATGCAGTTGGAAGATAAAAATTTAAGCCAGCTGGAGAATCAGCATGAGTTATATTGACTAGTATAAATACACTTATAAAAGCGTTTGCCCTAGAAAGCTTTCCTACATTAACAAACAAATATAAGTTTAAAAGCAAAATCCTTCTTAGTGCAAATATTACCTTCCATTGAGTGTATACTTTGAAACAGTAGGAATTATCTTGCTTTCCATTTTATTTGCTGTTTAGTAATATTAAATGTTTAATTTTATTCTATTACTTAAATATATTTTAAAAAGGGAAAGGAACTGATGGGAGAAACTAATTGTAATACAACATGTATGTAGTACATGATTTTGAATTATTTTTTTTAAAGGATCACATTTTCACTGTTCTGATTCCTGGTGAACTTTAAGGTGCTGATCAACTCCAGGGACCTTTGCATTCATCAGCAATTGAAGCATTATCTTTTAATTGCAGGCATGTTAGTTCAGTCCCTCACCAGAGACATGGTAACTGAGCAGAGACTATTCCTCATCTGTTCTGACATAACGTAAACCATGCTCCCCTGTGCCGTATTTGGTTAAGGGCGAAGCAAACCCATTTTACTGTGTGCTGTAACAGACTAATAGTTTTGTCTTACAGCAAAGCCATGTTGAAAACAGCTTCTCAAAGTATGTTATTTAATCGTACATGTCTGCCTTAAGCAGAAGGACGGACAGTGTGTCAGTTGATACAATAGTAATACTTAGATATTTTATACAAGTAAAAACATTTACATACAAGTATTATTGAAGACGCTCTTTTTTCTTGTAGCTTTTCATTTGCCAATACCATATTTGGCTGGCAGCAGACACAAAGGGGATCTTGGTGCTCGTTCCTGGATATCCGATGTTTAATGTTCTTGTCAGCACTTTTATATTTGTGTGTGTGGCACATGAAATTTCTCAGATCACTAATGATCTAGCACAGATAGTGGTTCCTAAAGATAACTCTACTCTGCTGAAAAGGTTGCTGTGCATAGCTGGATTTTTTTCTGGACTGCTCTTCTTCTCGTCAATGCAAGATCAGTCAAGGCATTAACTTGAAAAGATTCTTGGAAAGTTTCTTTACGTTTACTTTGTGTCTGCCTGAAAAAAAATTCTCAACTGGAGTACAAGAAAACATTTAAATTAAGTGTGTGGAAAATGTATATAGTGCAAATGTACATATTTTGTGTGGAAATAGCCTTCTCAAATAATCTGAGGAACAAGAATGCACTGTACAGAATTGCATGTGAAAAGGAGTCTTTTCTACTGGATATATGTCTCTGTTTACATATCTGTTTAAAAGTGACACAAAGAAGTGATGTTAAATAGTTTAGCAATAACGTGTGTATCACGGAATTTACCTTGGGTCAGCCAAATGAAGAGTGGATGTTACTAGAGTACCGCCTATACGTAACACATGCTGTAATCATTCTCATCAAGGAACAAAAAAGAGAAAACTGATCCTTCAATAATGGTCACCTTTAGCTGATGTGAAAATGAAGTTACTGGTAAACCTGGGCATTTTTCTGAACAAAATGGTAATTTTTTGTTTAGAAATTAGTATTTTGGGTGGAGATAGTATATGTTATATGAAACCCTTTATACATGGAAATAAAAAGTCATCACCAATTCAGTGATTTAAGATTACATACAAATTATGGTAATATTTTATGGGTGGGTTGGTTTTTTTTTAGAAATTTAAGATGTTTTCAGCAAATATGGTGAATTCTGAGGTGAATTTTTTTATAAACAGAATTTGATTTTTTTTCCCTAAAATGTTTTGCTTTTTCATAAGCTTTCCACTAAATATCATTTAACTGTGTGCAGCTCTCTGTACAATTCCAGTGAACAAACAGATGAATAATTTTCAGAGACTCAGTTCAAGATGGAGAATTTTTGGAAGACCTCCAACCATTTCCAGTCAGAAATCCTATCATTTCTACTCCATCAGATCTTAAGGAAATGGGAGAACAGGGGCACGGTGGTCTTTGAACCTCTCTGGCTTTGAAGGTGACCTTGAACTAGGTCTCATTAGGGAACTGGTGCCATATTCTATGCTGTAATAACATCTTCATTTAAAAGGATGGGAGTCAAGATGCAAGTTGATCTGTGGATATCATGAGGAGGAGTGGTCGTCTTGTTGCAGGCAGATGGTTGAGTCTCAGAACTACAGATGAAATGAGATTGGAGTTGTTTGGAGGAACCGTTTTTCCCATCCTTTTTAGCAGTGCCCATCTTCCTTATTAACTCTTTAGCATAAAAATTAAAATTGAAATAGCCATTCAATACGGCAGTGACAGGGTGTAATTTATGTTCCACTTAGTGAAGTTACGGTAATTTCTTTGCTCTCTGTGGTCTTGTTTCAAGTTTGACCTCTAGTTGCTTTTTCATTTTATTCTTATACTAATGACATTTTATCAGTCAAAAAAATGAGTACAATATTGCTTGCCAAGCATATGTGCCATTGTGTATGATTATAAACAATATGAATCCTAATTTGTACCATAGGTACTGTCATGGACATGTTTTTGATCTTATCCCTGTTAAAAGGTTGAACTCAAACTTGCAGCCACCAATGAGCACAAAAAAAATAATAATGGAAAGAATGGGTTCAATTTTTTTTTTTTTGGTGGAAAACAGCTTATTTTAAAGAATGACTAGTCATTCACCATAAAAAAAAAATAAATTGTTCGCTTCCCACAAATTCAGCAGCTTTAGTAAGTCTGCCAGCTATTATGAAGCTCTTGGAAAGTCACTCAACTATTTGTTCTGTGTCTGCGTTATTTCCGATATTTGGAAAGTTGTCCTCCTTGATCAGTATATTTGAATGGCTGAAAGGAATGGTAGAGGTGAAAACTGTAGTGGAGGATAGGATGGATGCATAACCTTCATCTATGCCAGTATTAGGAGCGATGGGGAACTGTGAGTTTGAGGGATAATTTTTGTTTTGTTTTTCACAACTTAAGTATTGTAGATACAATTTTATTTATCTGTTGTACAGACTTGGTTAAAAGATTTATTTTTAATCTTTGAAATAATGCACTTGCTTACTATTACTGTATGTGGGATAAATATATTTTCTTTTCAGGTTATGTAAAAACATGATGTAATTTAAACATTAAATAAATGTGCTGTGGATGCTTATTTTTGTAATGGGAGCAGCATCAATTAAGTAACAGCTTTTTATTGCTTGACTGTAGCTGGGCTACAGTTCACTATTATGCTTACCTTAAACTACAGATTAGTATTGTAGTTTCTCCAAAGTGATGATATTCTGGATACTATTACTTCCAATTAAGGGCAGATACTCACTTGTATCACAAATTATTTCAAATGCAATGCAGGAAAGAAGATTTTTTTGCAGTAAATTGCACTGTCCCAGGTCTGATGAAATTACAGCTCCAGTAGCCAAAAGCACCCCTGGAGCTCAAGGGACCTCACCACAACTCTACATTGGAGGTGTCAAATGCTTTCCCCCCACCCCCGAGTTTCAAGCTAGAAACTCTGCGGCATTACTCTGCATAAAAGCAGAGGATTTTACTTGGCTTTTCCTTAGTCTAGCAACATCAAGAAACCGATCCGTAAGATTTGTTTGGGTTAAGGAATTTAGCCGTTAATTTAGCTACTTAAGTCCCACACGAAACAGAAGGGGCACCCTAAGCAAAAGATTGAGCGTGGTAGTTCCTATTCCCAAAGCTCCTTCCATAATTGGTAAGATTATATCTAACATGGGCAATGGAACCAAGTGGTGCAAATACTCTCCATTGTTTCCAGTTACAACACCTATTTAGGCATTTCCCCCAGTTAAACAGAAACCCTGCACAATCAACTCCAATTTTTAGACGCTTACCATCCAGTATCACTGTCCATAATATTAGCAACTATAACAAAAAGTTGTTGAGGCATTGTTATGTAAAATAACCAGGCAACAACATCACTACTTAATATTTCCAAATTTATTACATTTTACATTCCATATATTTACAAAGACATCTGTACTGCTTTCTGTTTAATGTGGTTTAACTGTCACTTCATCAATACAATATCAGTTCATACTGTCATCGTACATCGTTAAAAGAGGCTGCGAATTTACTGTTTTAACTACCAGCACTTTTAACTGTTACGAATTCCTTAGCCATTAGGTGTCTTTAGCCATCTTTATAAATCTATGCTTCCACAGTAATTATTTTAATAAGTAAAAATAAATAATTTGTTATTAAACTTACCTCAAATGAATGAAGCTTTCAATCACAAAATAGTTCAGGTGTGCTTAATACCCATCATTAGATTCTTTTCAGAAAAGGAGGAGCACCCACTGGTACAAACTGATTCTTTATGTATTTTCATAACAGTTTAAGAAATCTCCTTAAATATATTGGCACTGTTACATATTAATACAAATAAGATGGGAGCAGTTCAACTGGTAGTTAACTGATTGTCATACCATCCTCAAGTTATCAGAAATTGCTGTGATCCAAAATGAATACTATTTACAAAGTTTAGTCTTATGTTGCATTAAAAATCACTATTTAAAATCCAGTCCATTCATTTCTGTTTCAAAGCACTGACAGCTCATACATTTGAAAATAGTAACAGAAACTAGTAGAAACCAGCTGCTGATTGTACTCGAATTTTTTACAGCTTGGATAAAAGATGTAAATTTTTAATTGACTATAAATCTCTGTGTCCAGTTTCTAATTCACTTTTCCCCAATAACCGTCCAAGCTGCTGGAAAAAAAGAGGAGTCTCTTAGGAGCTGATTGAGTGATGAAATCTTTTCCCTGGTACCTGTTGGATGAGGTGGGTGTGATGCATGCCACTTTGAAAGTGAGTAGGAATGGCTCTTCATTCCAGCTGGTTCAGAAACTGACTTTTAGTTTTGCAACCTACATGACTGTACCTTGAGCTACCTCTCATAGTACAGTAACCACCAGCACTATCCCTATGGGTAGATGCATTTGTTAACATATTCCATGGATTGTGCTCAGCATTTAGGGCAGCCCTGCAAACTCTGATGTGTAAGGCTTGGCAATGTGCAAGTATGGACAATGTACTGAGCACTGACTAGATACTTTGCTGCAATAGTTCTCATATTTGTTGCACAAAATGCATCTAAAAAGCAGCTCAGGACTTGTCTAAAACTGTTAAATTCAGGTCCAAGCCTATAAACACATCATTATGTTCCTTTCTAAGCAAAGAAAATAAGGTTTTGTGTTTTGAAGGAACAGGCTCATAACCATTAAAAAAAAAAAAGCACCAGTGACTACTCTGGTCTTTCTACTAACTCCAATAACCTTATTTTACAGTTTCTCTTTAGCCTCAGTCTTAAATTCCTAAATTACTCACAGTTTCTCTTAGCAGAGACCTCAGAAACCTTAGCTAAGGAAATGTAGCCAGCATTTAGCAATATTAAAGCAGATGCAGGTTTCTGCTTACAAAGCAGTGTCCTGATGAACATACAACTTCTGAAAGAGAAAATATTACAGAAAAAGACAAAGCGCAAGTGTTAGCTTAAAACTGTATCATGCTTCAAGGTAAAACCCCCAAGAACTGTTGGTGTGAGCTGTTACAGCTGGAGACCCTGAAGTCCTGTGTTTTGCTGTACTTGAGGATTTAAAGAAGCATCAGAAAAAATCATTTAAAATATGCACAACAGTGTCAGGAGATAAATTATCACGATCTATTGAAAAACAAGGAAACCTCAGTTCAGATCCTTTTAACAAAGCTCATGTTACTAAGTTTTCAGCTGGACAGACAAATGCCTCTCAAAGCTCCCAAGAAGGTATGTATTTATTCAACTTCTTTTTAAGATGCTAAAAAACAATCCTTGCAGACATTGATTTCTGCCTAAAGTAGTTTGTAACAGTTTCTTCTAACTTAATCAGATGAATGAATGGACAGATTTTAAATGTTTTATTGCTTACAAGTTGTCAAATAGGGTAAATATCTGGTAAAGGGACAAAAATACAATTTTGAACAGGAATAGTTTTGGGTTTTTGTTGGGTTGTTGGTTTTTGGTTTGTTGGTTTTGGTTTTTTTCCCCCCCCCAAAAAATTAACTTTGGAAATCTCTACAAAAATGAATGCCTAATAAATCTGGAATACTATTTCTGGGCACCATCATATTGCACAAGTTTTCATGCTTATACACTACTGCTTTTCATGTGCAAATATAAGGCAACTGTATCATCCCATTGAACAGAGTCTGGAATCCTTTGAACCTGGTACTTGTTTTGAAGTTTTGGTTTCCCCATTAAAACTTTCAGGAGAGATCACATGACAGAATAAAGTCTGATATTTATTAATACATGTATCTGAAAGATTATTTTCTTAATGTAACAAATATAAAAAGTTATCA